CTCATTCTGAGGTATTCCCAGTATAATCTTACAATTAGTTTTTGTGTGCTAAAAATGACCAAAAATATCGTTTTCAAACACCAAATAACATCCCAATTCGATCGATGCCGGACAATGTCTTCGGAGGCACGTGGTCTTCGGGGAGTGAAGATCGTGCCTCAGTACAAAGGGTACATAAGAACGGCTAAACACATTGAAATTTTGCCAATGTGGTGCAGTCTGACGTTACTGATTAATAAGTGTCACCAATAAAAAATTCTGATACCAAATCGCTAAATGCAATGTGTCTTGCAGTTTTATCCTTTTAAACAAGACTGATGATAGGGCTCTAGAAAGGAAAACGGAGAATGGGAAAGGCATCATGCAGTCTTCCTGTTACCATTGGCTAAAATTTCTCTCCATCTTTGATGTAGTCCACATCATTAATGGTGTGCGAGCTGTGTGGACGCGCTGCTCAGCCAAAGATTCCTCCCAGCCAAGTGCGCAGCCTCCGATCCGATTAAGCATGGCTGCCCCCGCAACGATTGCGCGCCCCACGGGCGAGACCCTGCGTGGCAAGCAGAAGGAGAAGGACGTGCGCATGTCCAACATCATCGCTGCGAAAGGTGCGTTTCCTCAGTTGCCATTTCCTTAACGCTAAACTCTATTTCTAACGCTATTTCTATCGAACTCCAGCCATCGCTAACGCGATCCGCACGAGTCTGGGACCTCGCGGCATGGACAAGATGATCCAGCAAGGCAACGGAGAAGTGATCATCTCCAACGACGGCGCCACAATCCTCAGCCAGATGCAGGTATACCACCCCACAGCCAAGATGCTGGTGGATCTGTCCAAGTCGCAGGATATCGAGGCCGGAGACGGCACCACCAGCGTCTGTGTCATCGCCGGCGCTCTACTCAGCGCCTGTGAGGACCTACTGCTTAAGGGCATTCACCCCACCAACATCTCGGAGGCTTTTGGTGTTGCTGCTGTTAAAGCCGAGGAGATCCTCACCGAAATGGCCAAGCCCGTGGAGCTCTCTAACCGTGAGGAGCTCATCAACTGTGTGAACACTTCACTGTCCTCTAAAGTCATCTCCGAGTACGCGGACCGCCTGTCCCCCATCGCCGTTGACGCTGTGCTGAAGGTCATCGACATTGCCACCGCCACTAACGTGGACCTGAACACCGTGCGTGTGGTAAAGCAGCTGGGCGGCACCATCGACGACTCGGAGCTGGTGGAAGGACTTGTTTTCAGTAAGGGATTCGACAAAACAGCGGCTGCTACGGCCCCCACGACCATCGAGAACGCTAAGATTGCGCTAATCCAGTTCTGCCTCTCAGCCCCGAAGGCTGATATGGAGAGCAACGTGGTGATCAACGACTATGCGGCCATGGACCGTATTCTACGTGAGGAACGCAAGTACATTCTCAACTTGTGCAAGAAGGTGAAGAAGTCTGGCGCCAATGTGCTGTTGATCCAGAAGAGCATCCTGCGGGACGCCACCAACGACTTGTCGCTGCACTTTTTGGCCAAGATGGGCATCCGTGTCATCACGGACATTGAACGGAACGACATTGAGCACATTGCCACGACGTTGGGCTGTCTGCCAGTGGCAAACATTGAGTACTTGACCCCGGAGAAGCTGGGAACGGCCGGATTGGTGCAGGAGGAGACTGTGGGCGGCCACAAGGTCGTCAAGATCACGGAGATCGTGAACCCGGGCAAGACCGTGTCGATCCTCGTACGTGGCTCCAACAAACTCGTGCTGGAGGAAGCTGATCGCTCGCTGCACGACGCTCTGTGTGTAGTGCGCTCGCTGGTTAAGAAGCGGTTCCTGATCTGCGGTGGCGGAGCTCCTGAGATTCAGGTGGCACAGAAGCTGGCGGCGTACGGGCGATCGCTGGAAGGCACGGCCAGTTACTGTCTGCAGTCGTTCGCTGACGCTATGGAGATTGTGCCCTACACACTGGCTGAGAACGCTGGTCTGCACCCGATTGGCATCGTCACGGAACTACGTGCTAAGCATGCGCAGGGACACACGAGCATGGGCATCAATGTGCGCAAGGGAGCTATTAGTGATATGTATGAGCTCAACGTACTGCAGCCGCTGCTGGTCAACACGAGCGAGATCTCGCTGGCCACCGAGTGCGTGCGCATGATCCTCAAGATTGACGACATCGTGATGGTCCGGTAAATAGGTACAATAGCTGATCGCATACGCTGCTTTACAGGGGCTCATTACCAAGACACTTTTTTCTTAACAGGTACTATTGTGATTGGCAATTATTTGTGTGCTTACACTTCGCTCTCCTTGTCTCCTTTCAGCCAGCAGGTGCCTCCATCCTGATCTTTCCACGTGAAGGCGTTGCATCCTCCTGTAGTTTTGCACACTGAGCAGCACTTGTCGGAAGTTTTGCAGTCAATGTGACACCGTGAGGTTCCGCGACGTTATCGTCAAGTGCAGAGCAACTCGTGGCAGATTTGAGAACTCCAGACACCGCCCCGCTACTGGTTTTGACGGCTCCCTTACCGCTCTTGAGCCAGCAAGTACCTCTGTTGTAGTCTGTCCAAGTGAACGCGACGCAGCCGTTCCAGTTGGAGCAGATCGAGCAACATCCGGCGGCTATAGAACTATATGCTGACCCGATGTCGTCGCCCTGGAAGTCCACGTTATTTTCCAGAGCCGAGCAAGTGTTTAGAACTATATCAGAGTCGAGGTACGCCTTGACCTGATCACCAGCTTCACGACCGATGTACATGATGAAGCCGTATGGGTTGACTGTACTGTCCTTCATGGCGCTAGCGTCGGCTACGAACACATTGCTCAAGCCGATGACCCGCAGCTTCTCGTCAGCGCAACGTTCCACGTCACTAGCATCACTCGAGGCGTAGCAAGTGCCACCGAAGAAGTACGAGATGTAGCTGCCCGTGGATGCTACAAAGTCAGCCACGGCTGCCGGATCCGACCCGGTTTTCGAGATAAAAGTCGCTCCGTTGTCCTCCATCATCTGCACCATTTTCTGGACGTACGACTGCATCGCTGCCAGGTCGCGAGATGTGCCGACATAGGCGTCTCCATCGTTAAACGCTCGCCAGTCGCCGTTGCTGTCGAAGCCGGAATGAGCGCGTGACTCGGGGTTGATGACGTACATGGCTATGGTGAAAGCGTTCTCTTGTTGGTGAAGCCCACCGAACCCGTGAGTGTGGACGTTGGACTGGAATTCGTACATGCGGCCTTGCACTTCATAGCTTTCGAAGCTGATGAGCGTGGGTCCCGCACCTGCCCACGGTCCAGTGTGGCTCTTGTTCATGTACTGGTTGATGGCCTCAGCAGGTCGATTGTCAAAGACAAACGCCTTCATGTCTGGGTGCGAGAACGAGACGTACATGAGGTTGGCGTCGAACAAGTTGCGTCCTACATTAGGGTTTGCTACGCGTCCTGCATCCTGCGAGACGCCAGTGTAGCCGCCAATACGTTCGAGGAGATCCAGCTGCGTGTTCGAGCCCACACCGCTTTGAATCAATACCTTTGGCGTGCTTAGAGCGCCTGCCGCCATTAAAACAGCACCTCGAGCACTTAGGAAGACCTGGGATCCACCGTTGTACACAACTCCAGTGGCTTTACCATCCTTGTCACGGATTAAGTAGTCGACTTTGGCTTCGGTTAGGAGTTGAACGTTGCCTCGAGTACTCATGGGTCCCCAAAACGCTGCAGCAGGGGAGTCACGCTTGCCATCTTTTATTGTGAATGGAGTGTGGCCGAACGTCTTGTGCTTGTTGTTCCGTGCTACCGGATCATTGAGTCTTGTCTCGACGTAACCGAGTGATAACAAACCTTTCGACACGATGGAGTAACCCTCTTGAGAGTACCATTTTCCATCGGGGGAAGGCACATCAGTGTGGCCATGCATCTTCTCGTTCTCGTCCATCTTGGCATTCATCTGGGACGCTGGGAATGGCCATTGAGACTGGTTCGTGTAGGCATCAGGTGGACGGAAGTAGGTGACAGAGTTGATGGACGAACATCCACCGACAGTCTTGCCGAGCCACATGTAGGCGTCCGTGATCCAGTCAACGCGGTATTGTTCGTTCTCCGGGTTGTACATGATGAGGTCGTACTCGGCAGGAATGTCGAACTTGGTGAGCCCGCTGTCTTTGGCGTATTCAGGGGCATCGGTTCCTCCCGTTGCTGCCATAGATTTTGGGCCAGCTTCGAGGATCAACACTGACACGTTGGGATCGCGAGATAGGTACTCTGCAGCAACAAGGCCACCAGGACCGCTGCCCACCACAATGACGTCGAAGGTTTGAGCATGGGCGATAGAGTTGGTTGCAAGCGATGCACACGTCCACAAAGCGAGACCAAACCAACGCATGGTAACGCAGTAGTTGAAGGTTTGAACTGTTGGTACCGTCGACTTCGGATCGAGACGGTTGAATTGCAAGTGAGGATTTATCAGATTCCCGTCGCATGAAATACCTGACCGATCGATTACTTGAACGCGGCATAGCTTTGTTGAGATGCTATCCGCAATCTCCAACTGGTTGAAGAGTAACCCCTCGTTACGTTGGTCGGTTTGAAGCTGAATAAACACAAACATCATCTGCTGCTACTACTGGTACTGCAGTCTCAAAGCCACAAAGGCCGATAAGAACGCGAACTGCTGGAAACGAATGCTCATAAAGCCACTAAAAGTATCGTCTGTTCCTACTTCATGCAGTCGATAGAATTGCTATCAAGTGCTTAGTACTATAGTTGTAACTTCAACACAACGTAGTAAAAGGGTTCTCTGTTCATATCGGTGGATACTTTATAATACAACCACGCCTCGGTCCTCGTGGGGTTCTTTATCTACAACACTAGCTCGCAATTTACACCGACGGTGGGCCGGGTAAGTGGTTGATGTTGTTGAGCGCCATCGCGTGGTATGTCTGTGTGGCGTGGTCGAAGTCGATGACGTTGACACATGTGTTGTTCTGATCAATCTCCGTCATGTGCGTCAGCTCGCCATGCAGCATCTGAGCCAGCACAATCTTATTGAAGCGACCGTGCGTGACCATGAGAACCTGCTCTTTGGGCGGCGTGTTGCTTACAACTTCAGTGATCTTCTTGACGCCACGGTGCACCACATCCATCGGACTCTCACCACCAGGCCAAGAAGCGTTGTATTCGCCCTGTTTCCACCGCTTGAACATAGTGTGGATCTCTTCTTCGTGCACCTCCATCGGGTGGCCTTCGAGCTTGCCGAAGTTCATCTCCTCTACCTCTTGGAACGGCTGCACCTCAATCTTCGGGTGGAGCTGTGCTACCGTGTCTGCTGTCTGGAATGCACGCTTCAAGGAGCTGCTGTAAATGGCGCTCAGAGGCACGTCCTTCATGGCTTTAGCCAGGTATTTTGCCTGCTCCACTCCCTCAGCGTTCAGGGGCATATTGACGCCGCGACCTTGAAGCTTGCGCTGCATGTTGTAGTCTACGGTACGTTTAGTACAGATTTCGATACGGCACAATGGTCTTCAGTGGCTCACCTGTCTGGCCGTGTCGGCATAGATAAAGTCGAGAGCATCCGTCCGACAGGGGCGGCAGTTGTTGCGCAATGGTGCGTGGCTTGTTCTCGCTGCCGTTAACGTGGTCGAGCTGCAGTTGGAACTGAGCCGGGTGCTGGCGGTGCGGAGCCATAGTGACGACGGACTAATAAGCGCGAGTAGAGATACAGAGACCCCGCTTAGGAGGCGTGTTCAGCACGAAGTAAAAGTCTGAATAACTCCATGCCGACAAGACGCCAATCGAGGACGTTTAATGCATCAGGCTCGAGGATGAACGGCGGTTAGAGAAGGACGCTCAGTATGTGACATGGTACAGCAATCGCTTTGCAAATCGTGCAGGCAGGACGAGCAGCATGACTAGGGGAGCGTAGTGTGCAGGTTATAGACCAATCAAAGTGAGATACAACCAGCAGTATACGAATGAGAGATCGTCACGACCAACTTGCTTAAAAGCGACTCTCGTCCATCCGACCTCAGTGAGTCCTTCAATCGAACGACCACAAGAATTTTGGAGCATGCGTTGGCTCCAAACTTCTTCAGGAAGATCGCAACGCCAAATGGCTTTACGTGTACACTGCGCTTTGCCTGCACAAATACATGTATCCGCCGGCGCGAAAGCGATAGCGCATTGCGGACTGACTTACAATACTACAATGACGATAATGACAGAAAACAGGAGCGTAAATCATAATGCTATCAACGTTTAGGTTGACTGATTTTTAAAAAATGAATACTATCACCAAATTACACCAGCACGATGGATATGTCGCTGGGTGAAAGCCTGTAGTCGGTTGGTGTCTTAAGCTCCCGTTTCTTGGCGTCACGCCTCTTCTTGACGTACACGAGCCCCACGAGAGCAAGGATGCAGCAGGACACACCGACAACGATGTTTAGGGCGGTGTTTGGACCCTGCACCAAACTCTCAGACTCGGAGGTTGTACTTGTTGACTCAGTCGATGCCGATAGAGCCAATTTGTTGCTGGAGATTATCGGGGGTTGCGTAGGAGCAGTGGTACTGGTGATGTTCGGAAAGACGCACTCCCAATGGTCGAGAGGAGTGATCACGCACTGGGCATCCACCGGTGCAACGCATCCAGTGGAGTAGCTTCGAGATGTCTCGACGCAGTGCTCGACGGCGGCGTCTCCCTCCGCTGGACAAGCTCCCGACACTTGCTTTGCCGATCCAGCCACCTTGGCACCACACACGGGCCCCTTGATGCAGTAAGTCGCGTCACCCTTGACATTAACGAGGGTGCATGACTCTTTCTCTTCTTCCGCAAATGTGATGAGGTTGCGCTGAACTGGAAACGTGCTCATGTTCAACAAAGGTTGACTTGGAGAATGGAGCTTGGCAGCAAGTTGTAAAGTGGTGGCTGTTTCACGGTGAAATTCACCACGCAATTCTGGTCTTGACATCCAGGCTGGATGATCCAGCCCTCACAGCCGCCCCCTTCCGTACATTCTCACTCGGATCAGAAGTACCAAAGCACTTGCCGGGCAAGTTGCTTCCGCCCAGGATTTGGTGGTACATGTACCAGTTGATCAAAAACGCGAAATTTCTTGCGTAAACCCAGGATGTCGGGTACCCAATAACTGGTACATGCATCAGCTCGTGAAAAACGCGAAATTACTTGTGTAACCTTGATGTCGGACGAACAGGACGCGAATGGGTTAGATGCGACGCTGAGCTTCGTGGAGGAATTCGTTGCCGAGACCTTCTCGTCGAACGAGATACCAGCTCTATCCCCAAGTCCTTCGATGTTCTCGTCGTCGACGTCGCGTTTTCCAGATGCAACACGTTGCGATTTCTACGAGCCAGTCACAGACCCAACTGTCATGCTAGCTGAGACTTTGGCCATGGCTCCTTTACCGAGAGTAGATCAATGCAACCATGCAGCTCATACTGGTCCAAAACAGTCTCAACCGACGAGTAAGAAGCGAAGCTCGACTAAGCCAAGGAAACCTCAAGCCAATCCGAACCGTGTTCGGAACGAGCTCCGCTTTGAGCCTGCATACCTTCGAGAGAAGGCTGCACAGCTGGAGCAGGAGTTGAGCTCACTGCAGAAAAAACAACAGGCGAATTCAGACGCTCTAACTGTCCGAAGACAGACCCCAACGGTGATCATCGTCCCTCATGGAGGCTTGACACAAGAACATGAAGCGTGGAAAGGGATAGCTGCACGTCAGCGAATGCGTCGTGAGGGTGCAGAGCGCGAAAACTCACGACTGAGGATTATTGTGGAGAAGCAGAGAAAAATCGCGGTTGATTTGGCCAAATTACTGCGGAAACGAGTACGTGAACACACAATTATCATCAAATTTACGGGCGATACAATGCAAGTTCAAAGGAGAATTTTTGACGATGTTGCTGCGCTCGTTTGACTTTGTATAGGTTGCCGAGTCCTCACAAATTAAGGACCCACACACAGAAGAGCGCCGCCTTAGTTGTGTACTTGACTTTCATGGCGATATTGGCGAGTTTCGAGAGCTGTTTGGACACCTTGAGGCTGCATATAGTGAGGTGGACACTGTGCTGGCAGCCAACGGTCTAGCAACGATGGAGCTACCGACCAATGATGTTCATATCCGTGAAGGCGTTGATGGCAAATATCTCGAGTTCTTTGCCAACAAAGTAGTACCGTTTGGCCTTCACGAAACAGCAGAGGCTGCATGGGACCATTTTAAAGGTGCAGATAAACACTGCGGGAATGGCGGCATTTATGAGAAGGCAGCAAAGGTACACACATTCTTTTTTTTTTCTGGTGGTTAATCGCAATAATGTCTAATGCGTGCTCCTCCAGAACCTTGACCAGCCTTATACAGTCCTCGAAGACTTCACAAAAGAACTATACTCCAATAGTTCTCGAGCTGATATGAAGGCCAAGCAGATTGTGCGCCGCTACATTGAGGCAGAGCGCGAGATAGTAGTGTTCGTGTCAAGAGTATCTCCCACTGAGATCCGACACAAGGCGATCGAGGGTATGACGTACCATCTACGAGGTTACGTCGTTACGAAGCCGTCTCCTGCTTCCTCGCCTGGACATGAATTGACGATGTTGCAGTTCTGCTCTCGCATCTCCATCGACAAACAGCCCGGAATAATATACGATCGCGAGCATATCCGAACAGTTATCCGATTTCTCATCGGCAATACTGTGGGCAACATCCGCTGCTACCAAGAGCGAATTGAGAACTCACTAATTGATAAAGCCTTGCAACAATGACTCATTATAACCCAATAACATTCATGACGTAACCTTGACGGAACATACTCAAATCAAGTCTTTTGCGTAAACCATAACCATTACCACACAGTTCGGAATATCGGAACAGTTATAGCATGGCGTTCTTGGACGATGAGGATGCCATGCGCGCCTTTGAGGCCACGCTTAACTTTGTGGAGGAGTACGCGAATGACTCGCTGAACCCGCCTTCCCTCCCTTCGCTCATCGACAGCTCCGATGCCTCCAGTTCTTTGGCGTTCCGATTGTCGGATGCCATCCCGTCGGAATTATTAGAGGATGATAATGCCTCTACCACCAATACGTCAATGACCCTGCCGCTGGTAATGGCAGAGCAGCTTGCAAACTCAACTGCAGCTGGATTCCAGATAGGAACATCGTCGGCTCCGAAGCCTCAGCCGTCCAAGCAGCGCAAGTCGAACCGACCTAGAAAACCGCAAGCGAATCCGAATCGCGTTCGGAATGAGCTCCGATTCGAATTGGCTTATCTTCGTGAGAAGGTGTCACAGTTGGAGCAGGAGCTGAGCTCATTACAGTTGAATACAGAGGTGAAGATACTGCGTGACGGAAGAACAAAGCAAAATGGCGATGCGGTGTCGAATACGCAGCTCGCCAGCTCGCCGCAGGTGCTTGGTGCTTGGAAAGGGATAGCTGGACGACAGAGGCAGAGAAGAGAGGACGCTGAGCGCGAAAATGCGAGACTGAGAATCATTGTAGAGCGTCAGCGGAAGGTGGCAGTTGATTTGAGCGAGTTATTGCGGAAACGAGTACGTGCTTGTCTAAAAACTGAGGTGCTCCGCCATCTTAAATATTTTTTTTTAATGTTTTGCTGGTGTAGATGACGGAATGCGCGAATGTCAGCGACCCTTATGTATCTGAACGGCGCTTGAGTCGCGTGATTGACTTCCGCGGGGATACTGGAGAGTTCCAAGAGCTCTTTCAGCACCTGGAAGACGCTTACCTCGAAGCAGACGACGTGCTTCAAGCCAATGGACTTGCGACGATGGACATTCCGACACATGATGTGCATATCCGTGAAGGCGTCGGCGGCAAATATCTCGAGTTTTTCTCCAATAAGGCACTGCCGTTTCCCTTGCAACAAACTTCGGAGGCAGCTTGGGATCATTTCAAGGGAGTAGACAAACACTGGGGCAACGGCGGACTGTACGAGAAGGCCACTAAGGTACGTGAGCCTTGCTTGACCTGTAGGCTATGTATTGGCCATCATCATTTTAACGATTGTTGCTCCGTAAACTCAGAACCTCGACCAGCCCTATACAGTTCTTGAGGACTTTACGAAGGAAATGTTCTCTAACAACTCAAAGGCGGACATGCAGTTGAAGCAGATTGTACGACGCTATGTCGATCCAGATCGCGACATCATTGTATTCGTTTCCAAAGTGTCGCCTATTGAGATCAAGAACAAGGCGATCGCAGGACTCACTTACCACCTCCGAGGCTACGTCATCACCAAGAAATCGCCAGTCTCCGTTCCTGGCCATGACCTCTCGCTGTTGCAGTTCTGCTCACGCATCTCCATCGATAAGGAGCCCGGCGTGAGCTACAATCCTAACCACATTCGTGCACTCACCCGGTTCTTGATCGGCAACACCGTCGGCAACATCCGATGCTACCAGGAGAGAATCGAGAACGCTCTGGTCGATCAAAATTTGAGGAAACAGCTTGTCGTGAGCTTCTAAAAAGGAAACTTCACTGTAGATTCATGTAACTTGAGTAAAAAGAAATAGTCCTGTTCCAGATCGTTCCTTTCTGATACGTCTACACCAAAATGCATGGTTTATGTATTCAATCTGGTGCTTATTCCGCATGTGAAACCCAAACCACAATTCAGTGCCAAGCGAGTGACACTTGTACCATTAGCCTAAAACGACTGGAATGGAGCTCGTCGGGGGCGACGATGATATGCGCGCGTTCGAGGCGACGCTGAGCTTCGTGGAGGAATATGCGAGCGACGCCTTCACGTCGATGGATCTCCCCAATCTCTCCGTCACTTCTGACGTGTCGAGCTCGTTTTCATTTCGGCTGGAAGACCAAATTCCGCCTGCAGACGTCGTTCCTTCGTCGTCGAGCTCCCCCACGTCGTCTGTCGGCACCATTGACACTTCGGCCATGACGCCGATCAACTCGACGGGTCGGTTCTCAATGGGCGTCTCGAATGATGCTCCGACCACTACGCAAGCCTCGAAACCCCGGAAGTCGACTAGAAAAAGAAAACCTCAAGCCAACCCGAACCGGGCACGCAATGAGCTCCGCTTTGAGCTTGCATTCCTTCGTGAGAAGGTAACGCAATTGCAGCAGGAATTGCAGTCGCTGCAGCCGACGCAGGACAAAATGATTTGTGACGGAGAATCGACGCTTGCTACCACATCAAATGGTCGTTCCCGTCCGTCGTCACAAGTGCTTTGTGCGTGGAAGGGAGTGGCAGATCGGCAATTGCGACGACGCGAAGACTCGGAGCGTGAGAATGCGCGCTTGAGACTTAATGTGGAGCACCAGCGGAAGGTGGCCATCGATTTGACAAAACTGCTACGCAAGCGAGTACGTTCTCTATATCGGACAGTTGAAAAAGTTTGTTCTAACATGTTTATGTGGTATTTAGATGGCTGAGTGTGCGGAATCTCAAGATCCGAGTGTCAAGGAGAACCGGTTTACTCGAGTGCTGGACTACCATGGCGACTTGGCCGAGTTCCAGGAGCTGTTCCCAATTCTGGAAGAAACCTACCACGGTTTAGACACCGTACTGGAGGAAACTGGTCTTGCGACTATGGATATCCCCACTGAAGACGTGCACATCCGTGAAGGAGTTGGCGGTAAATACGTTGAATTCTTCGCGAACAAAGTTCTTCCTTTCGGGCTTAGTGACACAACGGAGGCCGCATGGGACCACTTCAAGGGGATTGATAAGCATTGTGGTAACGGCGAATTGTACGAAAAGGCAGCGATGGTACGTTTTACTGATCGGAATGCTTGAGGAATATCAGTTGCTCACTTGCTTGTTGACGTTGTTTTAGAATCTAGACCAGCCCTTCACAATTATCGAAGACTTCACAAAGGAGGTTTACTCCAATAGTTCTCGCGCAGACATGGAGATGAAGCAGATCGTGCGGCGCTACGTGGAGCCAGATCGGGATGTTATCATCTTTGTTTGTCGAGGAAAACCCATTGAGATCAAACACAAGGCAATTGCTGGATTGACGTATCATCTTCGTAGCTATGTCGTCGCCAAGCGAGCTCCAGCTTCGACCGCAGACCACGATTTGTCGCTGCTGCAGTTTTGCTCACGGATCTCAATCGACAAAGAGCCTGGCGTGGTGTACGACCCTGTTCATGTTAGGGCGTTGACCAGATTTTTGATTGGAAATACTGCAGGCAACCTTCGATGCTATCAGGAGCGGATCGAGAACGCGCTGGTAGATCAAGCTTTGAAGCGTCAACTGCAGTGACTGTGGAAGCTTGCCTTGGCTGGCTTTCACTTGGCTTGAACACTCAGATTTGTGCATAATACAACTCAAAACCCTTCTCTTTAACAAAAAAAACAAAGTTTAAGCCAGATTTACCATCCGTTCACAAAAATGAGGACATTTCAGAATGATGGTCAAATCGTCAAGTCATTTTGCCCATAATAATCCCGCCTCCCTGGCAGCAGGTCACGGGTCATTTCGTCGAGAACATCGCGATCGTGCCCTCTGCTGCTAGATTTCGCATTTCATAGGCTAGATACACTATTATCTAATCCATCGACCTTGAAGCGTTTCTAGACCCAGCAGATAAGTGCATATTTTCCGATTGTACGCCTGTAGCCAGCACCTTTGTAGTGTTGCTTGTTCAGAAGAATGCGAATTGCGAACTGAGATCAATTAAGTTCAAAGACGAAAACTAACCCGCCACTAGCTGTCCCTAGCACGCGTAGAGTAGATGAGCAAATATCCAATTACCTGCCGAAGACCTCTGGTAACGTTAGCCGCGTGAGCTGTTGTTGGC